GGCCCAGAAGTCCCAAGACCCCAAGATCATACACACTCAGGTTCGAGTGGGAATGCCCAGTACCTCCCCCAGGGCAGGGAGTTCCACAGTGGGTGATGTGAGTCGTGTGATATTTTTGGAATCCTTGGTGGCCCATTAGCAGACGTGACCCCTCAGGCTGGGTGTGGAGGTGCTAATGAGTCCCTGGGGGGGAGTTAACATCACCCATAACTACAGCCTGAGGGGTCAGGTGTGTTCTGGGCAGCTGCTGCAAACGACCTATTGTTAACAGTTCCTGGGAATGACAGGGACGGTGTAGAACACCCAGTTTGGGTTACACCCATATGTTACACCCACGAAACTGGTCCCGGTTGCTCTAACTAGGACACAGGGGTCCCACGGGTCCCCCCTCTCCTGAGTTCCCCCTCTCCAGGCTGCTGGGGGCCCGGGAATCCTGGGAATGCCCCCTCTCCGGGCACCCATTTCGTTGTCCCAGAACTGCCCCCCCTCTCCAGGCCGCCGGGGATCCCCCAGCTCCGGTATCACCCCTCTCCGTTCTCCCCACTCCGGGGTCCCGGGGTTCCCACCCACCCCCGGCTTTCCTGGGGGGGGTCCCCAAAACCGGTGTGCGGGTTTTGGGGTAGCGGGCCGACAATGGAGTGGCGGTTCCTGACCAAGGGAAGACCAAACCCCACCCGGGGGGGACCCCGCATCCCCCCGCCCACCGCCGGGGCTCTGCCGGGAACCGCCACCGGGACCCCCACAAAAAAGCACCTCCCGGGGAACCCCATTATCGCCCCAAAGGGCATTTCTGGCTCAGCTTTGGAGTCCTCCAGGTTTCAATATCGCACCAGGCCTCGACAAAAAGAAAAAAAACAAGCCCAGAGACCCCTCAAGATATTTGGGGCGAGCTCCCCCTCCCGGCTCACCCGCGGGATGCGGAGGGAGCGATGCTCCCGGGGAAGCTCCGGACTCCCGGCTTTTCCTTCAGTTCTGGCTGACACTGCTCTTCCTGCTCCGGCTCCTCCCCATCCCGCCCTTTCCTCCCCCTCCACTTCCTCCCGCTCCTGCCCCTCCCTAATTCCAGCCCCTTCCCCTCCTCCTCCTCCACGGATATGAGGTGGGGGAGCCTCGGGCCGGGCTCCGACCCCACCACAAACGGGTAACGCAGGGAGGGGGGAATTGGGGGGACACAGGGGCTTGGGGGGCCTGGGGAGCCCCAGAGTCAAGGCAGGGGGAGGCTGGGGGGGTGGGAGAGGTGGGATAGGCGAGAAAGGGGGTGTAGGGAGGTGTTGATGCAGGATAAGGGGGTGCAGGGGGAGTCTGGAGATAGGGAAGAGGGTGCAGGGGGGTCCCAGTGTCTGGGAATGGGGGCCCAGGGGGTTCCCCAGGTCAACGAAAGGTGGGGTAGGGGTGGGGAGAGGCAGGGTGGGGGGTCCAGGGGGTCCCTGTGCCCAGGAAAAGGGGCATCCAGGGGCCTCCAGTGTCAGGAAAAGGTGGTTCAGTGGGTGGGGAGACATGGGATGTCCGGGAAGGGGGTTCAGGGGATCCCTGATGTTGAGGAAAGGAGGAGTTGGGGACTGGGAGAGGCCGGAATTGGGGGTGCAGTGGGTGCCAGAGTCTGTGGTCCACGGGAGGTAGGATGGCCAGGAGAGGGGGTGCCCCCGTGTCGGGAGTGGTCCCAGACCCACCCCAGGGGACCTGAAGGAAGAAGGGACACCCTCCTGCAGGTGGGATTTCCATCTAATATGGGACCTGCACAAGCTGATTATATCACCCCCATCTGGGGGTTATAACCCCCCTTCAGCCATCACTGGAGCCATGGGGTCATCCCAACCCCCGAAAATGAGGGGAGAACCCCCAAGGGCTGTTTATAACCCCTAAAACTTGGTGGAAAGTAGGATCCTCTCAGAAATGGGGTCATGTAACCCTCCCAAGATGAGGGGGGGGTCACCTCAGCCCCCCAAAATGAGCGGTAAACCCCCCCCAAGCTGTTGATAATCCTCCAAATTGGCAGAAAGCACCAGGATCCTCCCCAAAACAGGCTCCCAGTGTCCCTCCCTGCAGCACCCCATTCCAGGTGCTGGAGCCACACATCCCTCCCTCACAGTCCCCTCCTCAGGACTGGGGAGTACCACAAAAACTCCCTCGGGACTGGGGGTAGCCCAATACCCCCTCAGGAATGGCAGATACCCAAAAATCACTTCAGGAATGGGGGATTCCCCCAAAATGCCCTCAGAAATGTGATCCCCCCCCAGCCTCATCATCCCCAACCTTCAGCTCTCTCATTCCAGACCCCATCCCATCCATCCCACC